CATGACAGAAACCTGAGTCACCCCTTTTCCCGTACTGCCATCCACATCTTCCCATTTTCTCCCCCTACTCAACCGAACTCCACTCTCTAGGGCGGGAGGGCTGGGTGCGAAACAAGATAGGAGGGGGACCGAGGGGGGTGTCTAAATAGCTGCCCCGCTCAGCCCCGCCAAAGCCCGCCAAGTCCAAGGCGCCAAAACGGACGGCCCCTTGGACACTACGTACTTCGACTGACACAAGGTACTAGGAAGGGCCAGAAACCCGTTTGAATATGACTGCGCCTAATTCGAAACTCAGCGCAACCCACCCAACATCGTCCTAGGTGCAAATCTATTAACAAGATAGTTAATGATATTTCCACCTGACCGGTCTCTTGAACCCTCCCGGTCATGTTCCCCACACGACAAAACATTACAACCAAGGTGTCCATCACCAATAACTCCACATACCCGAGGTCCCCATACATAACATTTTGCCCATTCACTCTCCAAGGGCACGGGATTCACCACCGAGGCTGAAAATGTGCCCAAACCGGGCGTGGAGGTCGCGGGCGGTTATCATCATCCACCCGAACAAGCAAAAGTCCCACTCTGTAGGTAAACGAAAAATGTCCACGTAAGACCACATGGAGTCAGACTTCCAGCCACCTCAATCACGAATGCGCCGTTCGGCGACCTCCAAAGCAAAGCAACTAGACGCACCGCCACCCCGAAGGCCGTGGTGCATAAAAGGTTCTGGGGCGATGGTCGGGTGGCGTGCCAACAAGTCCGAAAACCAAGTGGCCACCGTCTTGGAGCTGGGGACGCCTCGCCGGGAAAAGCCAGTAGAAATAGCGAGGCGCCTAGTCCATTTGCGCCCAGGCGCAGTCACAGAAAGCCGTCCAGTGGAGGATAAGCTCAACGACCTCCGGCGCGCCCTGGGACAGCCAAGACTGAAAGCGCAGATGAGGGGCCGCATCCTTGTGCAGCTTGGACTTGCGCTCCCGAAATAAAATGACCCTGTCCACCACCCGGATATCCTCTGCCAAAACAAAGTGGCTTGATTGTGCCCGGTTAAAAAAGATGTAGTCGATGTAAGCCGCGCATACCACCCGAAGGAAGAGCCCATCCTCCGTGGTCAAACCCACGTTGATCAACGTCCGAAGGAAGAGCCCATCCTCATGAGGATGCGAATCATCACCTCGATGGGCACGGGGCGGTGATGTTGCACGGGGGCCGGCATATCCCAGCACCATGCGCGGGTGAGGACACGGGTGACCGGGTCAAAAGCAGAGAAGCCAAGGTGCCCAGACATGTGGTGCACCATGGAAATGGCCACGAGATATTGTGGCAAAGAACAAACGCCCACCTTGCCCTCCTTGCGTAGGATCCGAATGTAGCGGTAGATGGTGGCGCGGCGAGCGGGCAGCGGCTGCAAAGCATGCGCCTCCCAAAAGGATTAGAAACAAAGAAACTTGGTCTGCATGGTCTGCCGGGTGGCCTCCGTATAGGAGGCGAGGAACTACTGCGCCATCCAGTTGCGGTCGTTGGCCAGCAAACCATCAATCTCAGTGCTGTACAGTGGATGGTCCTTGGGGGCTGGGTCCAAGGGGAACGGATCCGATGGAGGCTCACCGGCGGGAGGAGCCGGAGCCTCCAGTTCGCTCAGGGCGTCATCGCCGGTCGGGTCCGCAGTGTCGGTGGGTGCGTCCTCGGCGCCACATGGAAGGCGCGCAAATTCCAGCGTGGTGGAGGAAGGGAGGACGGGAGGCTCGGATCCCCAGGGAGAAAGAGGTTGGGCTGGTGGGGAATGAAGATCTCATCCATGCCATGGCCCGGAGGCGGGGAAACCAAACCGCGCTCGGCCAGTCCGGCGTGAGCACCACCGCCGTCAATTGTGGCTTCGAGTCGAGCAAGGTGACAAGCCTCGCGAGGAGGCTCCACGGGGGATTGCACCAGCTGCGCGTCCCCGTCCAGTTCTGTGCGAAGGCGTCGACGCCGGACGTACCCACATCCCAATGTTGACTGTTGTAGGCCTCGCAGAGGGCATTCCGGGCGGATGCAAAGCGGTCCACTCAATAGGTCCCAAAGCGGTGGACGACCTTTTGGAATATGTGTGGATTGAGCCAGTAATCCTCCAAAGTCTGTATATGCGAAAGCCTGTCCGGGAGGACATTGTCCGCTGATTGGATATACTCGGGCTCCAGCAGTAGCTTCCGCGTCGCACAAATAGCTTGCAACTGGCTAAGGGGCCTCAAGAGACTGGCAGACTTGGTAGTCATCGAGTTGGGGCAGTGCAGAACCACTTGGTTGTCCACCAGCAAGCGAAGGCGGCGGGAAGTGGTCCTGGGGCACTGGCGAGGAAAGAAAGATAGCAGGGCCAAGTATACGGCCTGCATTTCACGGATATTGATGTGCATAAGCTCCCGATCAAAGAATCCGCAGGCGAGAAGGGGTTGATCACCTCCAAGAGGCGTAAAGGTGCCCCCCCAGCCGATCAGGCTGGCGTCCATAGCAAGAGTGCCCACCAGCTCCAGGGAAGTGGAATTCAACGACCTGCCCACCAACCGACCGATTTGGGCCCATGCCACCAATTCCAAACGAGCGTCGGCGGTCAAACACAGCCGATCCCGCCAAGAGCGCATGCTGCGCAAAAGAGAATATAGATCCGTCAAGAAAAAACGAGCCAAGGGAAAGGCCAAATACAAAAAAATGGCGGAGCCACAGAATTTGGCCAGATCCCGGGCGACAATGAATCTCCGTTGACTAATCTTTTGGGCCCGCCACGAAATGGCAGTCACCTTGTCCGGAGGGACCTGAAATTGACACTGATTGGTGTTGATCATGATCCCAAGGTGCTTCTTACGTTGCACCGGCTCTCACTGACATTTGGAGTCCTTAAAGGCGAGACCAAGGGCCGCAAAAACGCGGCGGACCAAACTGGACCACTGGGTCAGCCGATGGGGATCGGACATGGAAGCAATGAAATCGTCCAAGTAGGCCAACATTAGCGCGGGAAGTTCCCGCGAGTACTTGATGTAGTACTGGAGAATGGAATCGTCCCCCGCTAAGCGACCGAATCGAAACTGATGCGCAGCCTTAGGACAAAAGCTGGGGGTCCTTAAGAAATGGACCACTACCAACATAAGTTGCATGAAATAAAAGGGGGAGAGGGCCAAACCAAATGGAAGAGCCAGGCAAGCAAAATTCTCTCCACCCATGCAAAATTGAAGAAAATGCTCCTGATCCGCTCTCGTCCGAATATGATGATAAGCGTTTTTGATGTCAAAACCCACCAAAAAATAATGCTTCTTCAAAAGAAACCCAAAATCGCGCAGTTTTCCATAGCGAAGACCGACCTTCTTGAGGTGGCGATTGATGCACCGAAGGTCGATGACCAGGCGGTACTTGGTCTGGCTATTCTCCGCCGGCTTGGCCACTAAGAAAGCGCGCGAAATCCGGGCGTCAGAAGAGGGGTTGGTCCAAACGATCACCCCCGTCTCGAGGTACTCGGCCCGCAGCTCCCACCAAGCTCGCCACTCCTCCGGAGTCATCAAGGGATACTTGCCCTGATTGAAGGGGGCCGGAGGGCCCATCAAGCCCCATTGAAGGGGGGCCCCCATGTGGATCTATTGCAAGACGCGCGAAGGCGCCCCGATGCGGCGCCATGTGGTGAGCCGGCCCCGAAGACGAGCGTACGGAGGGTCCTCTAGGCGGCGGGTTTGGGGGGCTAGGATGGAGCGCTGGGGCCCGCCGGCGCCTTGGAACTCTTGCCCTTGAAGTGGCGAGCGCCGGATGTGGACGAGCCCGCAGGACCGGAGGCCGGAGCGGTGCGATCAAGGTTGACCTGGTTCTTGGCGGCCGCCGACTTGGTCGCCAACTTCAGCTACTGACTGAGGACTTCCTTCCGAATGTGCTCCATCGGCTCGTCGATCAAAGGATCCCAGAAGCGCCGATGAACTGCGCCCAGTCGAACGTTGGTCTAGAGCGCGCGCCACAACCCATCGAGGGACATCCCCTTGTGCTCCCCGTGCATTTGTTGAAGCCGGATTAGGCTCTGCAATCCTGTCGTAATCGTCACGAGGGCATGGAGGTACGGCAAAAGGGCGTCCCGAAAGATGGGCGGGAACTCCTGGTGCGCCGCGAAGTCGATCAAGGAGGACGTGAGGTCGAAGAGCCACGCGACATAGGGCGCCCCAGTTCTGGTACTCCTGGAAGTAGCCGGAGTTGGTCCCAAGCACCTGCGTGAGTTGTGCGCCTTCGGAAGTCCGCCTCATGTCGAACCACTCTGGAAAGCGGACCCCCAGAGGTCGGACCACCGGGTTGGTGACTGACCGTGGAAGGAGCCGGGGGTCCGGGAGCCAGACGGCGTCGAGAGAAGCCATAGGCGGACCGTCGTTGAACCGGACAGCTTGTTCTTGCATCCACTGCTCCGCAAGTGTCCGGTTCATAGAAAGAACTCGGCCAAGACGGCCAGGGAGGGCAAGGCATTCGGTGCCTTCGGGTTGTGCCAACAAGTGGCGCGAAGCGAAACAAGATCGGAGGGGGACCGAGGGGGGTGTCTAAATAACCGCCCCCGCTCAGCCCCGCCAAAGCCCGCCAAGTCCAAGGCGCCAAAACAGACGGCCCCTTGGACACTACGTACTTTGACTGACCCAAGGTACTAGGAAGGGCCAGAAACCCGTTTGAATACGACTGCGCCTGATTCGACACTCGGCGCAACCCACCCAACGTCGTCCTGGGTGGAAATCTATTAACAAGATAGTTAATGTCATTAATGCAATCAGCCCCAGCCTGCTCGACTCCACCCCACAGGCACAATGCGCACCATGTCACGCCTGGCTGGGAATGACGTGGCAATCCTGAGCATATCTGGCCTTTTTGTGTGGAAAATCACGCACCCTCCCGGCCAGGCTGGCACCCAGATTTGTCCGTGCTTGGGCGGCCACAGCGGTGCGGCAGCCGCGCGGGTGCGTGCGCGGGCCGTCGACGCGGAGGCATGAGCAGCGCGGTGCGCCGCCAACATGCCGCGCTTCGTACTGTGCGTCAGGCTCAAGGCGGGCCTGCTGGGGGTGGGCTTCGAGCAGGAGGTGCAGCTGTTTGCGTGGGGCAGGGATGAGGGCCCCGGGGGGGCGAAGGGCCAGGATCTGCGGCTGGCGGACGACGACCCCCTGGTGGTCGAGCTCAGGTGCAGGATTGAAGGGGATGGTGGGACGGTGGAGAGCCTGAGGCTGGGGGGCGAGAGGTGCGACGAGGCGTTCCTGCGGCGCTGGCTGACGGCCAAGGGGAGGGACGTCGAGGTCGCCACGGCCGCCATACGGGCGCACGCGGAGTGGAGGGCCAAGTACGTGCCCTGCGGGAGGATCACGGAGGTGAGCGCGGGGGGGCGTTCGCGTTTCGCTGTCTTGATCGTGCCGCCGGGCGTGCCGTCCGTAGACTCGAACGTAGGCGACAAAGGGGGGAACTTGGGTAGGGTTGATGGCGCCGGCCATGCGTTGCCCGGCGAGCCGCCGTGTCCCCTCATTGAGGAATGGCCGTAACGGAAGCAGGTCACGCTGATGTCCTTTATGGGGTGGATGAGGAAGAATGCCCAGGCGGCGCCCAGAGGTGGTTCGATTCGGGATGTCTCTGATGCACAACCAGTTCGGGCTGGACGCTGAGGATTAATTTGCGCATCTTCACCGTCGTTGCTTGGGCTTTTCACCTGGCAAACTTGGCAACAGTTGCTAAGCGCTGTGGGCCAAATATTGGGAAGAAAGAACCGGCGCGCCAGTCTGATGTTGTCTGCGGCTGGTGTCATTTGCCCAGGAGGAAATCGCAGGAGAGCTTGCTGCGAAGAAGGTGTACTTGCAGGGCTGTGATGACAAGGTGCGATTGCGTGATACTGTGACTCTTGGTCGGCAACACCTGGCCTGGCATGCAGCTACTGCAGGTGTTCCATCGCCTGGCAGTGGCAATGCACAAAGGGGCGAGATAGAGGGATGCACGTGCCAATGTAGAGTGTACGGATGCGAGGCTCACTGGCAATCCCATCCAGTTGAAGAATCCGCTGTGTCCTCCATTGTACCGACTCTGATGCCCGTGTCGTGCAGGGTTTTATAGTCCTTCTGTTGTTTTTATGCAGGGACGGCCCCTTGTCATCTTCTTGGGCAGCAAGCACACCATGGCTGAACGAAATGTTGAGGAAACTCAGCGACTTATATGCTACACCATGGACAATGCTGGACTGATGTCGGACAACTCAGAGGGTGGCGATGGCAAAGTGTATTGCCTATTCGACTTGACTGGTATGTGAGCTGTGATATGGGCTGCGGCCACCATTGCATGGCACGAGCAGGCGAAATGGGCTTGCCGACTATACTCTGCTGGTTGATTGACAGGTTTGTGCATGTTGCGCAGGACTGAACTTGGAAAACCTTGATGCCCAGGGTTTTTCAGCAATCTTTGACGTTCTTGAGAAGCATTATCCTGAGAGGTAGGGCTGTTGTTCCTCGTTGAATGCTGCCATGCCCATCTGAGGCTGGGCACATCTTTTTTGTGAGATTGACCCCTACAGCAGCAGATGATGCATAATTCTGGAGTTCAGCACAAACAGCATGGTTCACTGGGTGTTGAAAGGTAGATTCCTGCATAGTTGCTGCCTTGGTGCCAAAGAGAAGAAATGTGTTTATTATGAATGGATGTGCTACAATTTCTAAAGCATATACATGAGTGTCTTATCACTGTCGTCCATTCTTTGACCATTTCGTGAGGTAACTGTTGCATGTGTGTGTGCAGGCTTGCAACACTCTGGTTCCTCAATGCGCCATTCTTGTTCTGGGGCGTTTGGCGATTGATTTGCCCATTTGTCAATGAACGCACACGTCAGAAGATCCAGTTTGTGAGTGGGAGGACCAGGAATAAGGTGTTTCAGGATCGCTTCCCTCCCAACATCCTTCCAAGTTGCTATGGCGGACTGGGAGAACTCATTGCTGCTGACGAAACAGTCCGTGCCTTGTCGGAGAACGGAGCTGGGTTGCCAACCCCATCGTCTGCTCATACCAAAGTCCATGAGCACTGTGTCAGTGCTGGACCACCTGTCAAGAGAGTGAACCTTCGGAACTGGCTGATCCGATGGAGAGGGTCTGGCAGATTGGGGAACCATGCTGGCAGTCCTGCCAGACGGCGGGTGAACTTTAGAAGTTGGGTTGGGAACAGGTTGAGGGATATTCACAGCAACCCTGCTGCAAGGCTTGTTGGTGTGCATGTCAACAGCTGGGTGGGCTTCTTGGGGTCCAGGTTTGTTAGGCGGAAGGAAGGTTACGAATGGCAGCATGGAGTGCGGCAGAGGCGGCTTGCTGAGCTGAGGAAATCCATTATTAGACGTGAACCCACAGGGCACATCCGTATCATGGATCGCCGTGTCCCTGTTCGTGCAATCGTTGTGCGCGTCTTGATCGCAGAGTTGCTCATCATTGTATTGAATCGGGCTCGTTTTGCTGCTGTCAATGCACTTGGTTGGGGGCAGTTGCCCTTGGCATGAATCTAGACTGACCAGTGGAGAAAATGTAAAGCTTTGGGTGCCTTGATTGTTGCTGTTAATGTTGAAACAATGTTAGACAGAAGTTTGGGCAAGTTCTGTTGATTGCTTCAGTTCCTGTGTTGTTGAGGTGTGAGTTTCTCGTCTGAAGTAGGGTTGACAGTTGTTGTTGCACATTTTCTAACATTTTGTTAGGTATTGGTAGTGAGTGGGCCCGATGAGTGGGATCTCTTCTGAGCAGTAATTGTTCTGCTGAGGGCAGATGCTGTTGGAGGTCTGGAATGGAGGAAACTATGGAGATGGAGAGGGGAGGGGTGTGGGTATGGGTGGGGGGTTGAGTTTGGGAATGGATGTGCTGTGGTGGCGATTGTTTATTGAAGACAAGGATGAGGTGGACCAGGAGCCTGTGTTAGTGGAGCAGGGTGTGCCCAGGCTCTTCCAATTTTGTGCTATCTTGTTGTTGCCTACTAGTAGTGCTGCTGGTTAGATGTGGGAGCTTTGCAATGAAATGGAGGCACTCCATGAAGTGGCAGTCTGTGGATACAGCTTAAGAATTCCCACGTACTCTACAAGCCCTGCAGTTTTGGACGTGTGCTGTGCTTCAAGCGAATGTAACCAAGAAGTTGCAGCGCCATGGCACCACGGCACACCATTGGCTTGATGGTGCAGATGGCTGCATGATCGCGGTTGCTGTGTGGGCCACATTGACTTCCCAGATTCCGTTGGATGGTTTGCCTGTTACCATGTTCTCCAGTTCCAGCAAGGCTCCTTCAGTGACACAAACCTTTGCACACAGGCAGTGTGTCCCCAAAATGAAGCCACCAGTGCTGGTTGCCCACTCTTGAAAGCTATCCAGCATAAAAGCTGCACATTCCATCACTTTCTGGGATGCCCTTACTGACATTAGCAACACAGCTCCACCTCTAAATCAGCGTCCATTGCTTGTGCAAGTGCGGTAGCCGACCCAGTGTGAAGTAAGGGTGCGTCTGCCCAGGAAGTCACTCGGAACCACACCATGTGTGAGGCTCGTGTTCCACAGTCATCAAAGCCCACTGCTTGATTGTCAGCTATTCACAAGTGCATCCGAACTTGGGCCTACCTGCCTCGCACGATTGCTTGTTCATGACCGTTCCACTGTGGCTCAATCGACTCGCCGCTGGTCGGAGAATTGGAAACGCAACGGCTGTCTCTCTAAGGATCTGGACACCTCCTGATTGGTTGGATCCTTTTTCGCTCTTTTGATGCGTCGTGAGTGCCCATTTGTTCCTGAAGGGTCTCGAAGGGCCTCATTTTTACCACTGAAAGGGGTAACACTTTTCCCTGGCCCTTTTCGCGCGGCATGCAGGCGTGGCACAAGGTGCGGGAGGGCGGCCCCATTCATGCTGGAACCCCCTCACCGCTTCCTGGCCGCGGCCAACCTGCCACGATGAGGACGCTGTGGCTCAGGGCGGCGGCTGCGTGCGGAGTGGCTTCGGTGGCGGGGACCTTGGGCTTCTTTGCCACCAAGGTACTGACCTCCCTGCAGCAACGCGTCGCGGCAGGTCCTTGGGCGCAGCCGAATGGGACGTGGGCAGCGGCCACAGCCCAACCTGCATCTTTGACGCCCGGTATTTCCTCAAGACTCCGCGGATTGCTTCCTCCAGATGCTTGCTACCTCGATGTTTGCTTGCATGCTGCGGCAGGTTGTCTTATTGGGGCGTACGAGCATGAGCAGCGTGTGACTTGTATCTCGCGGATTGCGCAGCTTGACGTTTAATCAGTTGGACTGGGCAAACGACAGCAGTAACGACGGGAGCAGTGAGAACTGTCAGACCGAGAACCACATGTGACGTGCTCTTCGCAACTGAAAAACGCCACGTCGGGCGAATCGCGGCATGAAAGGCGGGGCTGGTCGCGAACACTGCTGTGATTTGCTGCTGAGCAACGAGTTGTCATTCTTCTTGTTCTGTGGCACTGCTCCTTTGCAATTTGGATGGTAGCTCCACTGTGGCTGCCATGCGGCACGGCCATGATATGTGTGTGCCAGTTGAGTATGGCTTTTTGACAGACAGCACTCGATGGCACCTCGTTCTACCGGTTGCTTCTGCGGTTCCAATCGTCATGAAAGATGTATGAAGCTGATTCGCGTTCCCTTGTGCTGCCAGAGAGCCTGCAGAGAGTGCCGGCGCTGGTATCCAGGGATTGAGAAGCACAGTTTAAGAGCTGCAGAGCAGCTGGAGCAGATTGAAGCACTGTGGAGTCGTTGCATTGCTTTCAAACGAGCACCGTAGCAGATACCACGCACAATGGAAAGCATCCTTGCAGCCGTTTCCAAGCCTTAGTCTCCCAGTTTGGACAGACAGTTGGTCGCTGGAGAATGTTTACTTGCTGCAAGGCAAGTTGCTTTGGCAGGGCAGGTAGTGGAATATTGACTCAGCAGTTCGTGTGGCTGAGGAATTTCACTGCTTCCGCGGAGGTGGGGGTCGATGTTGCCCATTTGCAGGTTCGAAGACATTCACAAATATGCAACAGCTTATCTCTGCAAGTTATGGAAAAAGGAGGAAGCAATCTCTGTTGCAGACAGCATGGTAGCGATTTCTGGAGTGTTCGTAGGTGCTATCCAGGATCCCAAGGGATGGATTCTTTATCTTGGTTTGGTCTATCAAGAGCGTACTTCTGGCTGGGAAGTGAAGAAAGGGAATTTTGTAGGTGCAGCAAGTGCATCTATCGAAATATGGGGGGTGGATACTGAATATGGTTGCATGGAACTTTGACAGACTTGGCGAGTAGGCCACAATTTCTTGAATTCTTGCGATGGCTTGGCATCAATCAACAAACGTGGTTCTCAGCAAGTTTTGCAGAGTGGACTGGTGCTGGCATGAGAGTACCAGGACTTCCTTTAGGTGAGGCTTGACACCATTTTGCCACGCCCCTCTTTGGGCTCCAACGAATGACTCATTTGTGCCGGTATTTTTTTGTTCTATGTCGGGGCAGTAGAGAGTATTGTGTGTTTGAAGACCCAGTTTTGAGATGTTACTCACGTTCTCAAGAAGCTGCATGAAGTCATGACCAAAGGCAGAATCATTCTACAGGGGTGTGCTCAACCCAAGGGGAATAAGTGGTGGAGTGCAGGAACGCTGTTTGGAAGTAGATTGGCGACGGCATTTTTCTGCTTCATATTGGCAAGTGTAAACGTCTTGTGTTTGGGGCCCACGTGTGAATGCGGCATCAGGCACAACTTTCAATGTGTGATGTAACAGTTGACATGGAACTCATAGCTTGGCTGCTGGTAGGGACCGCTTGCAAAGTACGTGGGCTCACACACACTGCACACAAGTACAGGTGATGCCCCAAAATGTGTGCATGAGTCATTCAATCCTGGCCATCTTGGTTGCGTTTGCCCTAAGCGTGCAGACAAGTGCCTTTGGTGGTCCTGCACAATCCATGCATGACAGTTGTGCTCTACAGCTGTAAAAAACACGAAGGCAGTCAGCAACACTAAGTTATAAGTGTCACAATTCTTGCCTAATACCAGTCAACTCCGCAAAGAAAACTGGAACTGTCAACCAAGCAGCTGCAATCCTATCCTTAAGCTAGTGGTGCCAACTTGTCAGTGTCAACTGATGGATCTGTTGCCACTGCCCTGAGACACATGCGCAGACCCATTTACTCCAGTTCCACTTGCTGAATTAGGTGTTTTGACACTGGACCCGTTGCCAACACCATGCACAGTTGCATCTGGGCCTGGACCAGTGCATGAATCATCTCCTGCTGCCTGGTTTTGGCCTGTCACCTGCCTTTCCCTCAATTCCCCTTGCTCCACAGGGTTTGCAGCGCTGCTCAAAGCACACTTGACCAACGTCTTCTGCTCTGGATTCATTTCTTTGATATCAATGTGTCGCCATGCTCTCTCATAGTCAAACAAAAATTTGCGGTAGTTATTTAGAAGTTGGTTGCCAACAGAAGTGGCTCGGTTGCCTTTGGTGTAGTTCTTCATTTTGGGGAAGATATGGCCGGCAAAGTTGATGCCACCGATCCAGCGACCATAGCCATCGTACTCCTGGTTTGCTATGAAGCCACCAACACGCATAACCTCTCGGTACAGGCCACATATGTCCAGTGGCCTGTTGTTGCTACAGAGAATGCACAGCCACACAGTGGTTGGAGCACAACATTAACCACACAATGTTCCAATTAATGACTTGAAGAACACCATAACAGCCATGCAAGTTGGTATCACCACTGTTGCAGTGCTGAAAGGCGGGTGCAAAGAACAAGATGACAGCTGCAAGATGTCCTGCAATTGTAAGAAGAGAGTTCAGCTGTGTGCATTTTCACAACATGTAACCATCACACAATGTGCTCCACTCTTAACAAAGAAGGTTATGTCCTCCTACTGTGGTGGCCATACACATGGGTGGGTTTGGTTAGGCGCAGGGGCACCCAGGCATACGTAATCCAACAGAACTGCACAATCGTGTAGGAGGACAGCACATGTGAAGGGCAAGGTATTGCTTTCCCTGACACAGTGCGCAGCTTCTGACTTGATTCAGGTTCGGTCTCTCGACACATATTCGATGCTCCACAGCAGATACCATATCCATACCACAACAATCCGTGGAGGGTCGACCACAGGCAGTGCAGCTGCCTCACCATTGAATTCTTTTCTGCCGTATTTGGCGTGCCTTGCTCTCCTCTCCACAGGCTCTCAAGAAGCGGCACAGATCCGTCTCGAACTGCTTGCTGTTGCAGGCGCTGAGAGGGAGCCTCTTGCTGCTTGCGGCGTAGTGGCGCAGCGGCGCGTCCGCAAGAGACTGGTCAATTGCCTCGTCCGACAGCTCTTGCGGCACGTCGCAGGAGGCGAACCTGCCCACAGCAATAAAGCCGTTCAGCCCCATGCGCCCCCCTTCACCAACGCACACCCCTCAACCTCACGTTACCGGCTGTGAAGCTCGGGGGGGTGCTCACCTCGCGTCTGGATTCATGGAGCAATACCAGGGGCTATCCGGGGTGGCAGACTGCAGTCTTCGCCACCGGTTGCATCGGTCGCACATGGCCCAGGTCTCCCTCTCCTCACCCCCAGCGCCATGGGACACGACGGGATCATCATCGCTGCTCGTGGTGGACAACAAGAGGGAGCGGCTCCCGCGGCCTGCAGCGCTCCCGCCGATCGCGCCACCCCTCCCTGCCGCACGGGCAACTTTGACGCGGGGACCGGAGCCCTCTGCGCGCTCTGCGCTCCGCGGCCTCTTCGCGTTGCGGCCGTTCGACCGAGATTTCGCCCAGGATTGGCGGCAAGTCTGTCCATAGCCCCGGGGAGTGCCGGCCAGACCGCTCGACTGGCGCAGCTCCAGCAGGGTCTTGCCCTCGTACTTGACTGAGCCCAAGCCGTCGTCGCCCCTGTGCGGTGGCTGGTTCTGTCCACGCCTGGCGTATAGAGAGAAAGAGAGCGGGGTGGTGAACACCAGGCCGTCGTGGAAGATCTCTCCGTTCCTGCCCAAGTCTGAACAAACAAATTCGGCCAAATGAGAGCGCGGCCGGCGTCACTGCACGCCGCGGCCACCGCCGCAAGCGGGCATCGCACGTGCCGGACAACCCGTTGCGAGAACGAGACGACGATGGCGCGATTTCTCATCCACAGTCGGTTGCTCGCTGCGACTGTTCGCTTTGGGGCAAAGACACCGGGGATCGCCACCAGGTGCGCGGCTCGCTGGTCAACGGGGGCCAACAGACGGCAATCACCGCACCTGCGTACAGTTCCTCTCCCGCCGCCAAGCAGCTGAGTTTCCTGCTCCCGGGACGCAGGAGGTCAGCTTTCAGGAAAAGCTGCAGCAGGTAGACGGGCCCCATGCGCCGGAGAGTGTGCGCCGCACCGTGTCCCACAACTGACGGCGTCCCCAGCGTCGTGGCGAGGGTGGTTTCCAGTGCAAGGCGCAGGGCGCATTGACTCGCCAACGAAGTAGCCAACAGCCCGCCACTGCAAGGTGTTGACACACTTCGCTTGATGAATTACCATCGATTATCGCTTCTAGGCATCGAGAGTTCATCGATCCTAGATTTAGTTTGAGTGTATCTTAACAAATGACCTTCTATCCCTAAATTATCTTACGCCATCTCGCTTTCTCACGCTACGCGGCCTACGTCTTACTCTTTCCCATCCTTCCTTTCGCTCTCTGTCCGTCTCGATCACGGGCTTCGCCCACTCACGCCCTAATGGTTTGCCAAGTGCCCCGGTCCGGTGGCAGGCCTCAGGACCCGCCCCCGTCCGGGACGGATAGGGGCACCTGCTTCGCTTTTCAAGCATCAACGGCCCTTCGGCATTTCCTAGTGGCTGCGGTTTCTGTCTTGGCGCCGTACTTTGGCGCCTAGCCCGCATGCCATTGATCTGCCATTGTCCTCCCCGAGGATGCGAGAGGGCCGTTTCCAGGCTTACCCAACCGTTCGGCCCAAATGTAGGCTGCAAAGGCAACGCCGTATGCGGACTGACTGAGTGTGGCGAATGTCTTGTAGGAAGTGCGGGATACGCGAAGTGCAGTCTTAGGGGAGCCTATTTCGGCGCAGCATGTGGAAGAATGGACTGTTCGCGAGATGAGCGAGTAGTATCGGACGGCGCGCGCCGCCCATAGAGCTCGAGTTATGCTTATAGCGGAGAAGAGGTTACCGCAACGGAAGCAACGAATTGAACAGGAGTTTGTGGATTGGTGGGCTCGGCGACCCAAGGACTGGCAAGCAGAGCTGCCGCAGCCGGAGGACGTGATAACGTTCCTTGAGTGGTTTGTCCAGACTCGCCGAAGTTGGGCCCGGACCCACACAGAGGGTGGAGAAAGAGTTTTGCACTTCAACACATTGGAAAAAGAAGTCAACCATCTAAGTGGTTGGTTCCGCCGGAATGGGTGTGAAGGGGACTGGCAAAGCGAAAGCTATACTGGGAACCCATGTTGGTCGGATTGTGTCCGCGCCTAGAAGAAAACTTACCGCGCTTCGTAGCAGGTGCAAGGGGTAGGGGAGAGCAGCGCTGAGCCATTACGAGTGGAGTGGTATCGGAGCATGTTCGAGGTGTGCCATTGTGAAGTCGAGCGGGGGGAAGATCCACTGCGTATAGGCCGAGTGGCGCGAGATGCACTGCTCCTCACGTTCTTATAGAAAACTGGACAGCGAGTGAGGCTGCAATTGGGGCCTTATACTCAAAACATGATAGTGGACGAGTGGGGCCGGCCCATCTGGTCGCCGGAGACTGGCAGGTGCCCTGTCGAGGGGCCAATCATGCTGGACATCTAGCCTTTAAAGACCACGA